CCCTCCCGGCGGATTCCGGCTGGCATGTTGGCCCTCCTCGGGGCTCTGCCAAATGCCCGCCGCGATGGCTGCTCTCCTCCCCTTGGAGCTGAGCTTGCTCTTGTCTTTGCTTTTCCCTCCTGAGAATCTGGCAAGCCAAGGCCGACGTGACCGGGGCGTATGCTGTGAGCCAAGCCGGCAGCCCCCATGTGCTGCTCCAGCTCCGCTCCCTCTGTTCTCCAGCCGGCCGACACACACTTCACCTTACGTTACCCAAATGCTGACTTGGGAAAATGTACTTTCAGGGGCCACATTGGCTTTCCCCTTTAGTGCGGTGGTGTCGTACGGGGAGTTTGGGAGAGCAACCTTTTAAATAGTTGAAGCATCCCCTAAAATAAGAGGCAGCTATACATATTATACGCAGCATGAGCTGCCAATACATTTTCTTCCCTTCTATACACTCAGGTCATCTTGTGACCTCTCCCTGCTCAATTTATTTGGCAGTTTCTCTCCGTGGGAAAGCAGCAGGATGGGTGTGTTACAGCCTATGAATGTTCAGCTCTACACCCCCTGATTTGCATTCACTTTTATCTGATGAATATACCTGGTGTGTCTGGAGTCATTTCTGGTTGATGTAGTGCTACCTTGTACTGTGAAAATTCTTCTGTGTCATCTTTAAATAAAAATTTAGATCTGTCAGGATTGTTTTTCTCCCAAAGGAAGTGAAATTAGTATGAGATTTTTGTTTGGCTTACGTGGATGTATCGGGAATGTTCACCATCTGATACGCTTGCATGTAGATCAGAGCAAAGGCAGATTTATTTATTTTTTTTAACTACATGTAGACAACTCAGTATGATGAATGAGTTTATAATTCTGTAAGGTGCTTATTATATTATACTCCTCTTTGCCTTTGTCTTTAGGGAGAACTCTTTAACCGCTTCAGGGATTGATTGCGTTTGATTAGAGAGTAGTTTGTCTTTTGAATCCATTATCCTGGATGAAAGTCTGCAAGTTTATTTTGTTTTCTGAAGCAGCCGGAATTGCACCATGTGTGTTATACGAACGAGGACAGGATGCAAAGTTTTTTCATAAGAGCCCATTTGAATTGATGAGAATTATAATACTGGATTGCAGGTAGGGGTGGAAGAGAGCCCACGGGCTCATCCTGCCTGCAGAAGCTTTCAAATATGCCCTTTCCCTCCTGCACCCTTCCTCTCAGCTCCTTCCTTTGAAACTTGAAAATTCTGACTCATCCTTTCATGAAAAAAGGAAATTTTCCCAGTTTGGTTGAACATTCCCGTTGTGGTGGCCACAAATGCTAACCCTGCCTTCTGCCCCAGCTGGAGACCTTCTGCCTGGGAGATGGAGGAGTGGTGGGATGTACTTTCCTTCTGGTCTCACATAGCCGAGGGTGGGCCAGCTTTGGGCGGGGGGTAGGCTGGGTAACCTGGCAGGAGCGCTTGCAATCCTCACTTTCCATCATTCTTGGAAATCATAACACCCTTTCTTTCTCCTAAACAAAACCAACATGACTGATCCCTCACCAGTGTAGTGTCTCTGCTCTGAAATGATGACCAGATTTACACGGGAAGTGAACGTACAGGCTGGTGCTCCCAAAGTTTAATGTTATAGCATCTTCCAGCGAGCGTGACGAGAGGATGGGGTGAGAATGGGGAGGAAGACTGGGTCGATAAGTGCGATGTACCCGCAGCATCCAGCTCCTCTGAACCGTTTCCATGAGCTCTGATTTAATCTCCTTAGGTTTTCACTTCTCTGTAGGAACGCAGCGTTTCTGAAGTGCCTGACTGACAGAGGAGGATTTAAGGAAATAAAAGGTAGAGCTGGCTTCCAGGCAGTTTCACTAATTGCAGCTTATTACAAATTTAACAGATGAACTGTCAGTTTCTTGAAGGTGTGTGATCACCACAACTTTTTCTTGGATTCTGTGCTGGCTATAGAAAAAAATCAGCCTCTAAGGTGCTAAGCTAATGTGCATTTCATTGCTCAGTAAGATGTTTCTTGGTTTACAATTTGCAGGCTTCGTTATTCCTTTTATCACATCTTTGATAATATGGAACTGTGGTCTCAAAGATATCTTTGGTGTGGGGTTTTTTTTAATATATTTGTATTTACTCAATTAATATTGTAGGAGGTATTGAAGAATTTTATTCTTCTTGGAGTCTGCTTCCAGTGATTGAGGCTTTTTTTCCTTTCAATAAAACAGGTCATTTTATTAGTTTTTCTCCATAGATGTCTAATTAGATAGGCACAGTAGGACTGAAGTAATACTTTTTATCACTTGAAATTTCTGGGTGTTGCAGAGCTTCTAAAATAAATTCTGTAAACATTTGTAAGTAGTTCATCTGTCTGATGTAAGATTTTTAAAGAGGAAAGATACATATAGCACTTTAAGGAAAGTTTTTGGAAAGCATCCTGATTTTTCTGGGTTGATGGTAGCTTTATCTCTCTTCCTGTGACTCTCCATCATGCACTCCTTGTATTATCATGCTCCCTTCGCATTGTCAAAACACTACAAAAATCTTTGATTTTCTTTTAATTTAAATCTCTGAAATCACACTTAGATTTCATATTGGCTGCATTTCTGTTGTGTGACTTAGCCGGAGGAGAGCAGGTCTGGGCAGCTTCGCTTATAGCTCTGCCTGTCAACCGGCCGTTCAAAGAGATGTTCCGACCCTGAGAGCTGACGTCTGTACGGTGTGTGTTGGCCAGCACTTGTTGTAGAATCACCTCTCCCTCTTTCTTACCCTCTTTATCCCCAAGCAAAAAACAATTTCAGGGGTACCAGCCACCTGGCCTCCACTTTGACCCTTTTGGTGAAACTTTCAGTAGTGGGAAATGGCAGAAAGTCGTACGTTTATTTGAAAGTGATGATGCAAAAAGAGGGAACCACTGAAGTCGAGCAATAAAGAAATTAAAAGCATCAGCACAGAGGTCAGAAGTTAGGGAGGGGACGGAGGCAAGCAAGGATCTTTCACTGGTAAATTTAATTCATACTTTTTGCTAAATGTAAATGATAGCTTAGGGAAAAAAACCTGCTTGGAATACATAGTAAATGATGTTGCCAGGATACTTCCTGATCATGTTAATTAAACTGTCCCACAGATTTGGCTTAATTACTGCATAATTTGCATATTCGAAATGATGGTATGCATTACTAAAGAAAGCTCCTATTCTGTTAGCAGAAAGAACACTGTACATGAATTAATTTCCAGGGGAAGGAGTCTCTAGACTCAGATAATGATGTATCTTGAAAATAAAGTTAAGATTTTTGATAATGAACTGACATATATCTCATTCCTTTTTGCAAGATTACATTTTATGCTTGTTCCATTAAGTTCCTTAGAGACCTCATCCCACTGTTGGCTATTTCTTTAATTACAAGAACCACTGTTGCTTTCAAGGTTGCTGGTGGTGAAGCAGACAGTAGTTAACTAAGTGGCAGAATATTTGTCTTGAAGAGGCCCACATTTGATACTGCATGGCTGTTGGTGGTGATGCACTTCACAACCCTCCTAAGTTAAACTCACTACGAAGCTATCAGTTTCTCCTTGTCTTGTTTTCTGTTGTTTTGTGTTTGGTTTGGTTTGGTTTTGGTTTTTAATTTCTGACATGTCTGTGGCACCCTACTTGTGGAGTCCTGAGGCCAAATGGAGAAATGCAGAAATATCTCTTTGCTCTTCCAGTCTGAGGGCAGGTGTTGCTGGCGGACACCCTGCTTGGAGGCCTCGGGCCATCCCGGGTGCCTGGCGGGGTGGTGGGAGTAGCCATGTGCCTTTGTAACACATAAAAAAAGAGGCTTTTTGCATCTGCATTTCTGACGGGGTAATTTTATAGCTCCTGTCCCTGCTGTTGCTTTGAGTTCAGTGGCGTTCCTGCAGCCGTGTTTAACTGCAGGACTGTGACAGTGCTTTGGAAAAAGGAGACAAAACTTCAAAAATCCTGCATGAAGTAAGACAAGATAGAAACTGTTTTGTCTGAGGAAAAAACCTTCTGAATACAGCAATTTCCCAATTTGGACTGCTAGTTGCTTTGGATGATAGGATCCTGTTGTTACTAGGATATGCATTTCCGATGTGGCTTCTACTTTTTAATTCTTTTTTTGATCTGCTTTTAAACAGGTGATCATAAACAGCACAATCACACCTAACATGACCTTCACCAAAACATCGCAGAAGTTCGGCCAGTGGGCAGACAGCAGAGCAAACACTGTGTTTGGTTTGGGCTTTCCCTCTGAGCAGCAGCTGACAAAGGTACCGGCGCTCGCTGAATTCCTGCAAAGGCTGTCTTGTTTCTTATTAATGAAGAATTGCATGCACCCATCTGACCTCTTCTGAGCTGCATGCCTCTGCAAGTCATCTTCATCTGTGCAAGTCGCCCATCTCCTAGAATTACCCTGTGTCCATATTTACAGAATCAGGCAGTATTGCGAACTTTGTGGTCAAAACTATAAATTAAATCTGACCACTGATGATGGTACTAGTGAGGTGATCTTGATGGTATCTTACCCAGTGGCTGAAAGCATTTGTGTTTTCAGATGTTTACAGAAACAACCTGAACTTTGAAGTATTTTTTTGGCATCTCCCTGCCCTGTGTGCTCATTTCAGCCGAAAGCAGCACCAAAAGCAAAAGGAACCACTGATATGCCAGGCCTGTTGGCATTAGGGCTGCCTAATGTGTCTGAAAGAAGAGAGTTGCTGTCCCAGCCTCAGAAACGTGCACTTTGATGTCTTGCTGCCGTTGGCAGCTAACTGAGGTAAAGCAGGTGCCAGCCCCCGGGGCTTGCTGGTGCGCCCGTTTTGCAGATACCACTGTTGGTGGGGCCATGCTCTCAGGAGGCTCGGTGAACTGATCTGGGTTAAAATAATACTGCATTTTTGGCACTTCAGCTCAGTGATGTGATTTGCAGCCCTGACCCAAAGCAGTTTTATCACAGACCTGAGGAGGAGGGAGTGAGTTGTGGCAGAGACGGGGGATGAGGAGCCAGGGAGGTCTGACTCCAGGTTTGCTGGCAGAGCTGGACCTGCACCCCAAACGTGGGTTTGGCATTAATGCAACACTTCCCCGGACCAGGGACTGGCTAGAACAACAGGCTTGTAAAGTCTAGAGCTGCCTTTTGTCACGAATAACCAGGAGTTTAAAATACATCCTCTGTCATTAGATCAGTGGTCTGGCCAAGTGCTCATCAAGCAGCTGAGATGTTTGTTTGTTCATGCAGTAAAAAAGCCCCTACTTATCTAACACATAGTTGACACTTGAAGCATGGCTACTTGGCAGTGGATTTTGTCAGTTAACTCACCGCTGTGTCCTTGGGCACGGCACATGGTCTCTTGTGTTGCTGTCCTCTTGTGTGCTTTGATACGAAAAGAATCAGGAGAACAAGGTGGTTCTTGTAGTGTCTAAAATAGCAAAGGCAGACCATTGCAGTGGAAGGAGGACCTTTCCATCAACTGAGTTGTTACAGGAATTTGTTTTACTAAGTCTGTCTTACTGAGTTTTTGCAATTTCCAGAGAACTGCTTTTTTGGCAAATAGTTCTTAAAAGTAAAGTATACTTTACTTTCCGCATTAAATTATTTTTGGACTTGGGATGTCCATAAAGGTGCCGTGGCAATCATCTGCTCATCTGGGGTGCTAAGGCCACCCAACCTATCACATGCAAAACGGTTTGGTTTTTTTTTTTAAATGAGGTGCTGGTGCTGGTTATGTTTTATGATGCTTAATCAAGTGTAGGAGACTGCTCATTTCACCTATACATACTCTCCACTCCTGTGGCAGAGGTGTTCGTAATAGCTGAATAAGTAGTATGGGAATATGGGAGCATTAAAGTGGGCCTAGGGGAATAGTTTGTTTTGAGTAACAGGTAAGTATGGTACAGTGCAACCTTTGGACACCAAATGAAAAAAACTAGCACCTTTGGATAGCAATTTTTAATCCCGGATTACTGAAAGTGCACCTCTGGAACATGACAGGTGACCACATGGTACCTCGGTGCCGACTGGGGTTGAACATGCACCACGCACAACATGGAGCAGGTGATGCTGAGGCTGGCTCAGGAGACAAGACGTATAACAAGGCATGAGGTACATTTGGAGGTCCTTGCACCCTAATCGGAGAGATTTTACCGTATTTTCCAAAACTGTCCAAACACGTACTTAGAATAAATTTAATACTGGTATCAGAAAGCAGCTCTTTAATGTTCATGTGGCCAGACTAGAGTCAATCTGAAGAACGTGTTGCATGGGCACAGGGGCCCCAGCACCAGCTGTGTTTCTCTCCAGATCCGTTTGTACATCTGTTTGCACTGCAGGATCTGCTGAAGAGTCCATTGCCAATAATACAGACTTCTACTTGCAGGAAAAGCTTTCCAAATCACCAGAAAGGCTTTTTCTGGTCTGAATATCGAAGGAGAGCTTAAGGGGAATACTTCTGAAAATGGCTCAAGATAATCTATTTAAAAAAAATAAAAAATCTGACAGCTATCTAGCTGGAAAGTGTAAGAAAACGTGGTTTATTACCACCATGCAAAGCAATGGGACAAAGATAACCCTTATCATCCATGCTCCTCAGTTTAATTATTGAACCATTAGTACAAAAGATCAGAGATGGTGGAGAGATTACAGATGTATAAGTGTCTTGGGAATAGTAAAATCAATCAAGTTTCATTTTATGTTGATATCATTACACTCTTATAAAAGACATAAATTAAAGCTTGCCAGTTTTACTGGAAATAATTGAAGCTTTTAGTCAGGAACTGGGAGGACACACTAAAACTCCTCTAAACCAGAGATCAATAGCCCTGGCTTTAAATACGTAAATAAATAAATAAATAAATAAAGCTGAAACATGTCTGCTGAAAACAATGAATAATAAGGAGACATGAGGAGAGGTTAGCACACCTAAAAACAGCTGCATTTTTAAGTATATTGGTTGGCCTAGTAAAAGATATTGCCTCTTTCTAAAGCCTTGCTTCTCTTGAGATACATAAGCATATAATCTAGACCTATAGGGAAAAGCAGCTCAAATTAAACATGAACCATTAATGAAAACTGCATTCAGTGGTGTACTAACCTAATTACCATTCGCATTGATTGGGAGAATCCCAGGGCTTAACGTTGATGTCCGACTCAGGGTCCTTTTCCCCTCTGGCAGGACTCGCTGACCCTCCTTTCCCCCCTTCCCACCCTGTGCCTTCAAAAAGATCTCAAGACATTATTCAGACATTGCTACAGCCAAATGGAAACAGGAATCAAAAGAGAATGGTGTGCCTGGGTGTGCTGAAGAGGCAGGGCTGGTGCTGTAAAGGCAGTGATGTGTTTTGCACTTGAAGCGGTTAGGTAAAATTTCTGCTATCATTCAAGGTGCTTCGATGCAGACATGCTATCTGAGGAGGTGCAGGTAGTCAAGGGCATAGGGACAAAGATCTATACAGGTGAGAAACCCAGTAAACCCAGACTTTGCACATCATAAAGCAACTGCGTCCAGCATCTGGGGAGCACTGGACTTTATTTCTATGCATGAGTGGACATTATGTGAGCGGTATTTGCCAGGCAAGAGGGGAGAAGGCTCAGAGCAGCGTCTGCCCCTGTCCCCAGCACACAGTGCAGCCCCTGCCCAGTCCAACCAGCATCGGTGCTGGCAGCACGCTGGCTGTGCTAGAGCAAATAGCCAGCCACTTGCTGGAGTAAATAGTCTTGTTCGCTGCCAATCTGCCTGGTAGTGAGGGCTCATGCAGGGAAAACCACGGGCAAAGCCACGCGTCCGTTGTGGGTCACGGCACAATGGTGCTCCCAAACGGGACCGTCGCATCACCCAGCCTTCTGCAAACTGAGAGGGAGATGAAATATTTATGAGACTGCTTTGGGTGGGAGCAGCTGTTTCATCTATCGACACTGGCACAGTTTTTCAGTAGAAGACATAAAATGCTATGCCAGATCAGCAGCTTAAAATTTACACATACAAAATAGTGCTTTTTAATGTATGAAATGCTAAGAAGGTCTATTTAAATATATATATATCTCTCCAGGGGACAAGCTGGCTGCAGATTTGAACAGCCTTTAAATAATTTGTGCAACGCACAGTAGCATCCTTGAGTCCCCATTAAATTTCACTGGCCAAGACTCATAATCAGAGCGCTCAGGGGCTGCAGCAGCCTTAGACTAAAAGGCTTCACTAGTGTTGGTAGCAGCAAATCTCTTCCATATTGTAGCTCCCTGGGGCACAGGAAGACATGTCATATAAGCCACGATGGACTATTGGAGTGCTGTTTAGTTGGTGTTTCTCCTACTCCAGTCATTTGGGGTATTTTTGCTAATTTGCAGGAGCTTTGTCTGCCCAAGGACAAGGGTGGAGGAAAGGGAAGATGAAGGGAGTAAAGATGAAAGGAGAAGGAGCGTGATTTTTTTTTTTAGTTGGTTTTGGGTATTTATACGTGCCATTGCCTCTTGAGACCACATTTACCAAGTTTTCATTTACTAAACAGAAGATTATTTCACTTTTTAACTAGAATTTTCACATTTGAAAAGCAGTCCCTATTGTTGCAATGGTTTGACAGCTCAAAGTCGACTTAGATCTTGGAGTTGGCACATGATTTTTTTAATATCAGTCACTTGTCAATTACTTGTGTTTGGGACAGAAGGAATTGGTTACTGGAGAGAAAGCGTCTCTCCAATTTCTGCTAGTGATTGGTCGCTGTGGCCATGCCATCGCTCTCAGAGAAGGTCTCTGGATCTCAGTAGCTTCAGAAACGCCCGGTCTGGTGCTGTAGCGATTAGCGTTGGTAATGCTACCCGAGTTTGGGCTGTCACCACTGTGCTGCTGCACTCAGAAGAGTAATCAAGTGAAAGACTTTAATTTCATAATGAGCCAAGCGATCCTCTGTAGCTTTCAAAGATAGTCTGTTAGTAAAATCTGGTAGGTATTAATTAACTAAGAAAAAAAAAAAAAAAGAGCAGCAGCAGCAGAACTCTGTATGGACTGGCTGTTTCCAAGTGTATGGGGTAAACAAAAACCAGAGACAGTCTTTCACCACGGTTTTTGTTACAGTCGTCTTTGAGTTTGTAACAACAATGAGAACGAAGGGTAATATTTTGACTCTTAAAGCCGAAGATCTGTCACTAAGATGGTGAAAAATTCAGTTACTGGTACTTGTTTCTAAAAGCAAATGTGTTAAATACATGTGTTGGTAAACCAGAGTCATGACTGAAATCTATTGTGCAAGGAGATCATTATCAGTTTTGTATTGAAGATTAGCTTTGCTCAGTCATACACGATTTTTGTATTATGGATATGTGGAAAAATGACCTTTCCTTCTCAGTTCACATAATTTTTCATAGCAGTCTCCTGTGTGCTTTATGAAGATAGCTGCAAAAATAAAATCTGATAGATCACTTCCAATTCTTTTTGTCTTTTCATATTTCATATAGTCCATGAAGAACCTTCATAAATTTTTCATACTTGCCCATAAAGATTTATTGTAAAAGAGAGACTCAAACCAGCCCTTTACTATTTGCAAGAAACCCAAGTGTAGAACTTACTGTTGGTACAATATTTTAGAAATAATCATTTTGTTATAGCTGTTTTGTCACAGCAGGAGATACGTTTAGTGTAAAGTTGGAGTTAAATCACTTAAGGCAAAAATGTAATGTAGCTGTTCCTAATGATCTTTATAGTGCTACAAAGGTAATCAAGTCATTTGTGCGTGTAGTGACTGCACATGCCATCAGATAGCAACTGCTGCCATCCCAGAACACATACTTTGCATATGCAATTTCAGCTGTTGTATAGAAAACAGCTGGATTTGAGGGCTCGATCTTAATTTCTAAGCATCGTCAAAGACCGTAGTCTACAACCGAAATTTCACTTGGTTTTGACAATGTGCCTATCCATGGGATCTCAGAATGATGTATGTGTGTTTGCTGGAAATTTCCATTGGTGTGTGTTATACAAAACACAGGTGCCTCCACATATAAATCCAGATTTCTCTTAGACCAGTTGGAGAAGATTTGTTTTATCAGTCTTTATAGTCCCAGTATTTTACCAAGAGAGAGCGTGCTAAATGCCTGCTGTAAATCTAAAAAGTAGAAGATAAGATTAGTAAGTGGATAATGATTCTTCCCATTCCTTGACTATAAAATGTGATGCATGTTCATGCTTTTATTTACAATTTTGTCATAAGTGTCCTGAGTTATCTGAGGATATAATGACAGTCCTTTTATTCACAAACTGTGCAATAAAATAGATTTATTTATAGGCACTTTTAATGTGTCTTCCCTTTCTAGTGGTTCAAGATTCTCAAAACACAGGCAAGCAAGACCAAGCTGTTTTAGCAGGAAGACAAAGTTACCCATTCATATACAGGATACATCTTAATTAAATTTTTTTTAATGCCTTTTCTTTCATCTTTGAAATCCTCCTTGTAAAACTTTAAACACTGTTTAAAGTGTTTAAAGCCCTGCAGCCCTGATCAGCTGTGATCATACTTATATTTCAAAAGTGCTGGACTGGCTTCGGAGCAGATGTCCTACAGCAGCTTGTAGAGATCGGGATCGTTCCTTTTCATCTTCATCTTTCCTTTCCCCTGCCTCCCCCAACTTGCTACAACCCTCTTACAGCAAGCATGCAAGCTTTTCCCTGAAGTCTTCTACCTTTATTTTTGCCCATAATAAGAAAATTAGACCAGGAAAGCTGTGTTTTCATATGGCCCCATCTTACCTTCAGATCTACCTTTTTCTCCTTTTTTCTATGTCTTGATAATCCCTTCCTCGCATCCTGCAGGTGTCTCATGAGCTCATTTGCATTCTTTAATTTAATTGACTTGCTCTTAGCAATAGAAGACTGATAATTTTTTTTATCCAAACATATGCCTTTTATACTTTCAACTTTAATAGACTGTCAACATTGAGTGAAACAGAGGAGGGGGAGGAAATAAACAAAACCAAATCAAGCCAGAAGACACTAATAGCTCCTTTTTCTCTCCATGGGTTTTTACTGTGATCGGCCAGAGCTACAGAGATGTCCCCTCTTTCAGAAACACCTCCATTCCTTTTGAAAGAACCTTCCTGCAAAGAATTAAAACTTTTTTTCTTGCCAAAAATTTTAAATTAGCAGAATTAGTTGTTCACTTTTGGAGATCTATGACCTATATAAATTTAGCAATCTGAACAGTTTAGTAGATGACAAATCATTTTAATAAATATCTTTCATGCTTTTTCCAGTTTGCAGAGAAATTCCAAGAAGTAAAAGAAGCTGCCAAACTAGCAAGAGACAGATCTCAAGAGAAAATTGAGACATCAAGCAATCATTCCCAGGTTTGCAATTTAACCATAATACCTTATGCATACAGGATAAATAATTTAAAGTTAAATTTTCTAATGGACTGTACCAGCTTCTGGCAGCAAGCTTAAAGTATATAAAATGAAGATTGCCGAAGGTAATTGTCAGCTGCTGGACATTAACATTGTCAGAGGCATATTTTTCATCCATGCATGCTCTTTGCCTTCATTTATATCTTTTTTTTTTCAGCAGTTCTTGAGCTATTATAACTGGTTTATAACGGGGAAAGCTATACATGCTTTGATTTGTACCGTTACCCACACTTGGGGTCACTGGAAAGTAAGTCGGTGTAATGCTTCAGCAGACAGTCAATCATCAGATTCATCACGATACTTCTGTTTGTCATCTGTCGCATCTAGTTTTGCTGGAGTTTGGTTTGCCAATGGAGAGACTGACTTTGTGTGTGTGTCACCTTGCCTAGGTGTGACTAATGGAAAGCCGTGGAGTGGGAACGGAGGCAGTGCTCTAGGGAGCGGGTGGGTGGAAGAAGCTCCTGTTGCGTATTTGTATAATACACTTTTCTAGGCAGCACACCTTGATATGGCCAAGCGCGTCCGTGTCCAGGGAGATCTGAGTTTCTTACAGATGGAGGGAATTGAGTGTTGTCGCAGTCTCTCTATATGTTTGACTGTAATTTCATATGCATTGCATGAGGTAAGAATGAACCCTGTTCAGTGGGCGTTCTTGGCCTGGGCTAATATTTGGAGGAAAGTTAGACAAATTTCGATCAGAGAGAAATTCAGATACATGATCAGAAAAAAGTTGTTGAATGCTCTTAGTCTTGCAGCTAACCTCCTTTGTGAGGTCCACAAATAGCGATCTGAGAGGCTGTCTTTGGATAGTCATTTTTTAAAGACTTTGGTCATGGCCTTTATGGTTCACTTTCTTTGTTCTCTGTTGGTGATCAGCACCAGGCAGTCTATGAATGGCATCTCTCTGGAGGAGCAGTATCTTCTTTTTTTTATTTTTGGTTTGTGCTTTGTGTACTTCCAGGTGCACTGTATTGTTTCGTAATCTTCAAAAAAACCCCAACAACCTTTAGAAAACACAAGCCTGGTCAGTTAAAACACTTTAAAAGTTTTTTTTTAACACTTTGTATATCATTATCATTTTTTTAATTCTTTTTAAACAGACCAGCTTTGCAGCCAAGATGTAAAGGGTATGTGTCTGTGGCCATTGTTCTGGCAGGAGAGCATATGCAGCCTAGGTCTCATTAGGATGGTGTGGGATCAAGATTACAAAGCCATTGGTGTTGTGGTGATGCAGGAGACGCCCAGTGTTCATCTGTGTGTTGTGCCGCAGGAATCTGGACGTGAAACACCTTCTTCCACTCGAGCATCTAGTGTGAATGGGACAGACGACGAGAAGGCATCGCATGGTGGTCCTGCTGAGGCACATCTCAAGTCTGAGAATGATAAATTAAAAATTGCTCTAGCCCAAAGGTGAACTTTCTTTAATACCTAAATTGCATTGGAATAGTGTGCTATAATTATCTGATGGCTAATGATATTAACAGAAATTATTCAAATGTAATTGCATTAATTTAAAATCAGGCAGTAGAATGGGTGAATGAGCAGACTTTAGCAAGTATCTCCTGGTATCCAGTTGAGAGATATTTACTATTTAGATTTTTCCTGATCTAGTTCGTGATGAAATAAGATCTCTTTTGTTCTGCTGGTGCCAACTCTTATAACCACCTTCATTTGTGAAGTTTTAGAGATACAGAAATAATATTAAAGCCATGGGGGAGCAATTGCTACTGATAACATGTGAAGCCAATTTCTTCCTCTTTGAGTTTGCTGCATTTACTTTGATGAAAATAGATATGAATTTTTAAAATTATAAAAAGGAATGAACTCAACCATAAAAAGTTGAAGTGGGAAGTATAATTTCACCAGGCTGCTTAGAAGTCTTAAGGGGATGTTTCTAAAGCTGTGGACAATGCCCTTTGAAGTCACATTTTTTGCTATTTGCTTTGATAAATTATTTGAAAATGCTGAGAAGAGTAATTTGCAACTATAGTGAAAATACAGGCATTAGAATATGCAAAGTTACATTAAAATAGAATAATTCTCTACTGGGATCTTGCCTTGTCTGCGTCTTGCATGTCAATATATTTGTGAATGGAAAGAAAATATAACAGGATCAAGCTACTCTTAAAAAGCTATTAAAAAAATAAGGCAGCAGCACCATAAGCGGCATTACCCAGTGAGCAATTCTAAGGTTGCATAGATTATATTCGCAGTATATCATCTCTATTGACATTTCAATAGAGTAACCTATTTCAAATCATAACGTTTGCTCGTTTTTTTTTCACCTCCACAGGCAAGTAGCAACGAGCACGTAGGGAGCTTCAAAGCCTTCCTTCCATTCACTCTCTAATCTCGTGCTCCACGCTGCAGCTTGAAGCTTTGGGGAATGAGTAGTTTAATTCTTCAGCATTATGTAACACTTTTCTGTTTAAGGCTGAGCATTAAAAAAAAAATCAAATATAGGTAGTGTCAACCCCCTGTCATCTTCTGTTCTGAATTATTGTACCGTTTGCAAATGCGTAGAGTTGCTTTGCTGCACGGGTACCACGTCCCCAGGCCCGCCAAGCAGCGGGTGCTCAGCGAGGCACAGCCGCGCCGCTCTGGAGGCGAGCGCAGACCGTGCGCAGCGCCGGAGTAAAACCCCTGTTTGCAAACGGTGGAGATCCCAGATGTCAGCTTAACCCTACAGCCTGCTTTGACAGCAGGACTTTTGTTCCAGAAGCACAGGTCACTGTTGCTGGAGTTGATAGATCCCTTTGTTTTGGCAGAGACAGTCAAATTAAGGCTTAGGTTCTCGTGAGGCGGGCAATGGCTAGGGGCAAGTACCTGCATCTGAGTATGCTTGGTCTCAGAACAACAGCTCATTGGTAAACACGCGCCATGGGTGGATGAGTTTGCAGTCAGGTAAAGAATAATGATACGCAGAATTATAAGGTGAAGCCGCCTAACGGCACCCTGGTTTTTCTCAGTTCATCCAATGTGAAGAAGTGGGAGACGGAGCTGCAGACGCTGCGGGAGAGCAACGCCAGGCTGACCACGGCGCTGCAGGAGTCCGCGGCCAGCATCGAGCACTGGAAGAAGCAGTTCTCAGCCTGCAAGGAGGAAAATGACCAGCTCAGGAGCAAGGTAGCAGAACATACCCACAGGAGAGCCATCTCTTCCAGTTAGCTGCTCCTGCCATTGCTCTTTTCCTTGGATTTCTGCTGCTTTACCTTGGTGTGTGTGTTAGGAGACAGGTTTTGTCTTTGAAAAGGAGGTGGATGGTGGCGGGGGAGTTAAGGCAGGGGCTTCCCTCTGTGCGCAGCGGGCAGGGAAGTTGAAAGGGCTGGGGATCAGCGGGAGGACTGGTGCTGCCGCAGCATGTGAAGCTCCGTGTCGGCAGGGGTTCCTGGCTGGGGTGATAAACCAGAAACGTTTTGAAAGTGGGATTACTATTGCGTATCCCTTTCAAAGCTCACTTAAATACTGCCGGATGATGAATGAGCAGAAGGCAAAGATCTGGCCTGGTTACGCACAGGAAACTAAGCTGGGAACCACTCAGAAGCAAATCCCAACGGCAGACAGGGGAATGAGGACGTGAGTTATATCCCCAGCTGTGAGCTGGGTCCTCCAGCGCTAATACCAGGCACATCTCATCCAGAAACCTGCCAAGAGGCATCGTCAAAAGCTTTTTCCCCTCCATTACTGAGCACAACATTTCTCAGTAGCTTAAGATGGAGGGTGAGCAGCAGCTACAGCAAAGAACAATTGAGAAGTTTAAATTTTCAAAGCCTCAGTTTATAGTAGTCATTGGTACTGTCCCTCAAATCACACCATGCTATCCATCAAGTGCCGGTAGCAGCCCCACACAGTGCTGGTCCCAACCTGGACACGGGGAAGCCTGGTTTCCATGACCACCGCTCGCAGGGACAATTTCACTCCCTTCATCTCAAATGTCTTCGAAAAAGCTGGACCCTTTCCCGGTTCACTTAGATGGATCACTGGGACGTTTGGAGTAGAGATTGGATTGTATCAGCCTGGTGAGGGGTTGGTTTGGTTTTTTTTGGTTTTGTGTTTGCTTTCAAAGAGGGGAAGGAATTTCATATTTTTTTGTATGTCAGTAGGCTGAAAGTAGTATTTCTACGTTGGAGGTGGCCTGGGTTGCCTGTTGGCACTGAAATTCCACATGGAGCAACCTTTTCCTCAGGCAGATGCCTTCTGACTATTTGCATGTATTTTAGGTGTGCACAGCGACAATTCAGAGATCAAACCAGAGCTGTGTTAGCTGATGTTACATTGACAAATTAATATTAACTGTTACATCATTTGGGTTCCTATATCCAGTCTCTTTTGGATAGGGGAGAAGTGAGAGACTGCAACAGTACATTACAAGAAAATAGCAAATTATGATTACGGATTACTACTGATTACTAACTACTAATTTGTGGGCTTTTACTTTTCTGTACTGTTGCAGAGAAAAGTTGTTCTCATTAACATTAACTGATGAAACATGGCACATCTCAGTAGCTGTAGCCTAGATATGAAGAGGTTAGCAAAACACTGCCTTACTACAGCTGCAAAGTCATCCTACCGGTGACTAGCCAGGCTGTGCAGCAATGCTGTCTGTACAATGTGCTGTCTTTGTCTATGCAGTGAGGTTTTCTGAGCTTTTCCCCCGAGTAGGTTCCTCACTCGGTGCTCACGCTGCACCACTGCAGCGCCCTGGGAAGTTCCTTCTCCTTTATTAATTGGGTCAGAATTTTTTGCATATTGCTCTACCTTCAAATGAGGGAAGTTATAATCCCAAAGCAACATGAAGCTGAGAATTAAAATACATACTTTAATGAGCCGGCCCGTTGGCCTGTGGGAAGTGCATCTCCTGGGAGCTAAGTCCAAAGCTGGCAGGAGGAGGTATGGAGAGAGCAAAGCACGTCCCTGGGCAAGAGAACAAAGCAGCGTACGTTGTCCTGAACTGGTTCTTCCCCCAAAGTTTTGGTGTTGTGTCCCTTGTACTCCAGCTAGAATAATAAGCAGCCCCTGAGGAGGCAAAGCTGGGAGTGCTGGAGAGATTTCTTCTCCTTGCTGCATTAAGAAAACCCATCCCTTATAGACTTGTGTTGGTTTCATGGAAGTGAAGTGCAGATTTTGTCCCCAGCCCCACTTATTTTAGCAGCTCAGTGTTTTGCACATTCTTGAGTAATTATATGAGATACTGTGTGAGAGAGAATAAACACAGTCCCGGGGCTTCCTAGTGGATGTGTAAATTGGCTCTTTTTAATGAAAGCAGCAATAATTTTGTTGCAGTGAATCAAGTGCTGTGATCTAGGAAACAGATCCATGACAGATCAAAATTGCCCATGCTTCCCTCTGCTCAGTGGAGCAGTGCCCCTTTACATCAGCTAGGGTCTGCCCCATATTTCCAGAAATTTGAAAAATTTCACCTAACTTCTGACATTTCTTAAAGATTGAAGAACTGGAGGAACAGTGCAATGAAATAAATAAAGAGAAGGAAAGAAATGCGCAGCTGAGTAGACGTCTCCAGGAACTGGAAACAGAGCTTCAGGACAAAGAGCTGGTAAGTGCCCTCTACACAGAAATGACATATTTTTGAGTTTGAGTGGCTCAGTCTGCTTCTCTCTTGGGATGTAGATTTATGGACTGGCTCACCTACACCCAGAAGCAGCCCAACGTCTCAGGGTGTCACTCATTTCTAGATTTTCCACATTCAACTCTTTAGCAATAGTTTGACAGAGTTCCTCAGTGTTGATTTCATTACATGTTATGCACTGTGACAGCACACATTAATTTGGCAGCAGTTAACAAACATGATACTTTTATGTATACAACACGTTACTCCTAATAGAAGAGCTGGAGTGGTGAAACAAGTTGCCCAAAGCCAGGCAGACCTACGCTGAGAACAGAGTTTCGGTTGCCAGTCCCCATGTCCTGAATTCCTGCAGATATCAGGACCATCATTAAAAGATATAATTTACAAAATATCTTGGCATTTGTGTAACAAGTCCTGTTTCTTTATGCCGGTGGCTTGTAGTCTTCAGCTTTGCTGTTTCACGGTCTCCCTCTGATCTCAAGACTAATGCCAAGAATGAGAAATTCAGATTCATTTAGAGTACCCCACTTTGTCATTTTTGACATACAAGGTGTTCATTTTTCTAAGGAGAATGACATTGATGGCTTGGAGCCCCTGAACAGTGGGGAAAATAATGGGATCCTTGTATTTTCCTTCATTACTGTGACCAAATGCTCTGTGCTGGCTGAAGAGAAAAAGCTATCAGCAGGTGCAGTAAAGTTTGCCATGTGCCATTACAGCATCTCTGCCGGTGCTCTTAAAAGCAGTGCTGTTAAGGGGTTTTAAGATGGCACAAGGAAATAGTTTAGGGAGATGGATTTTGATGCACTGTTGTAAATATAATATGGTTTTCAGCCCCATATTTCAAAGGAAGATGTCATGCTTTCTTCCCAACCTTTCTGTGGTAATAGCATGTATAATAACCCTTATTCTCTGCCAGCATTTTCCTCAATTCACATTTTTACGGTACCAAATGAACCAGAAAATTGATTGACTTGTGAATATTACATGCCTATCTTCCATGTACACTGACAATATACTAACTTGTTTTCAAACTGCAGACTTACATTAGCAGGTTCTTGATTAGGTCTAAACCACCCATAAGGAACCTTTTCATGGTCTGCAATTCAAACCAGCATGAAGCCCGGTCGGGGACGTTGCTGCGTAAGAGGAGCTGCTGATAGCCTCTTCATGAAGGAGAGAGAAATTTAAAGACATGGGAGTCAGGACAGAGCTGTCTAGTGAAATAGTTATGTATATACCATATGCCATGTGCCATATACCATATATATAGTATGTATATAAATATGCACACACTGTATTAAACTATTTATAGTAAGTATGCAGTATAGTAGTGTGTGTATATATATACACATAGTAAGTATATATAGTATAATACATTTATATTTTGAGATGTAAGTCCCCAAGCATTATTTATGTATATACAGATATATATGTGTGGGAATCAGGGTGACTTGAGAAAAAAACATTATTGTCTGGTGCTGTGGAAGAGCTTGAGCTATGAGTTCTGTTACACTCGTAACTTAATTTGTGCAATTCCTATTGCACTCTGAGTTCACCTGTTAGGGAAGAAATCACATTTCGTAGCCAAGACATCTGCCTTTGAGTCAGGAGTGGTTTTGCTGTGCTGTGTCAGTACAGCTCAGGGAGGACATACCCCTGTTCACTCTTGAGACCGTCACCTGCACGGGCAGTTTCTGGAGGAGGCTCTCACACTCTCTTCAAGGCACAGAGTTTCTCTGGACCTGCAAATGTGCTTTTCAGATGCTCTGACATTCCTTCTGGAAAATGTACAGGCTTTCTTTAGGTCTTCCCCTACTACCCACATTGCTGGTGGTCGTTTGTGGTGTGAATGTATTCAGCGCCCTTAATTTCCATCATCACAGACGTGACCTCCTATCAAGTCACATCATTGCTCTTTTCATGAACTCCTTTCAGCTAGTCCCCTCAATTTTGGTAGTGATGCCAGAACTGAATACAAAGTTGGGGGGTGGGGGGGTGTCTCAGAGCTGTGCAGTGGGGGAGAGCCCGTTACAGCTGTGCTCTGTAATGATGTCTCTATATATTCAGCTCGTAATGCTGTTGGCCTTTTTTTGCTGCCATATATCATAGAAAATTCATGTCTAATTTGCTCTTTGCTACCATCTATAAATTGCTTGTAGCATTACAGCCCTTCAGATTTCTCTCCCATTGAATATATCTTTTGCATAGGTATGTGTTTTCGGTTAAGATTTCATTAATATAATTAATGGCATTCATGCTAGAGATTGGATTACATTGTCTTTTTTAGAAAAACAAAGTCAAATATATTAATTTCCATTCTAGTAGAAAATTAGCATGGAATGCAGAATTAGCATTTGGAATGCAGACATGCTATTTTGATTATTTTACATCCAAATATTGTGCAGAATACAATAAAATATGTACAGTCATTTCATATTCTCAAATTTTCATTATATTTTAAATTGAAGCTTGCATTAATATTTTTTTTTCTTTTATATTTTCAAGGAACTGGAAGAGCTGAGAAAGCAGGGTGAAATTATACCACAGCTAATGTCAGAATGTGAATCTGTATCTCAACAATTACAGGTACAGTTTAGCAATGAAATTAATTTTAAAATAGTTCATACATTTATTTTCTTTCTCGAAACTATATGCTTTTCTTTGTTCAGACTTCAGTGTTTGAAGGCAAAAGAGCTCCAGTTTGTAAAAACAAAAAATGCTAATGACATGCAAAATACACCGTGCCCTTCCCAGCACAGGAGTAATTAAATAGCTCAATTTCTTTGCCTTGCTGTTTGCAGAAAGTGCTTTGCCTGGGATCATGTTGCATCTATCTCCTGCAGATTCCAGGCTATCCTGGATCCCGTATTTCTGCCGCTCTGGGCTTGTGGAGCCGCACCATAGCCATGTGTGTCGAGCCGCGCTCCAAGACCCGCGGCTAATTGCCGCAGCGGCACCAGGGAAGGCTTTTTGGAAAGAAGCAGATGAGCGTAGCTACACACCACCAGGGAAAAAAAGTTCACCTGAGGATGCATTGACACGCTGTGTGATTCCTTTCCAGCAGAGCATGGCTCGCTGTGGCTTGGTTTGCACATGTGTCTCCTCTCCTGGGAGATGCTCGCTCGGAGCAGAGCCGGATGGGCTGCGGGAGCCCTGCCCCAGCCGGAGGCTGGGCTTTGTGCGTCACTCGTTAAAGCCAGGGCTTGTTAAATACAATAAGTTAATCCATGAAAGGAGAACAAATATAAGCAGTGTTATCAATGAAATAAAATCCAATCAATGAAATAAGCCATCACGCTGATAATCTAAACGATCAAAAATAATTTAGAAGGCTGCTGAGGAGTGCAGATGATGAAAATGGTTAAAATATGAATTTTGTTTGATTCAGTATGGTAAAGTATGTTGTCCATGGCTTTTGGTGAGAATAAACAAGTGCTTACATGCATGAAATGGAGAACAGTAGGCAGAAGAGCTAACGAGAAGGGAAAATAATAGAACAAACTGCAGCAGGGGAAGTGTTACGGGGCTGCCCCATTCCTTGCCTGAGTGCTCACACGAAGTGGAACTTTAAAAAAATACCAATAAATCCAAAAGTGCTGAAAAAAGCAGTATCATTGCTCAGGCAGTATTTTCTAAGCTTGTTTTTCAAGGTTAAAGCACCATAGATAATTCTGTATGTAATCGGTGGCACAGCATCTAATTCTGCAACTGTAGCAATGACAGAAATATATGCACAGTGCATGATTTAAATCCAGCTGAATTTTAAGATATCAACCAAACGACAAAATCTGATGCAAAGCATCTTTTCCAGTTAATCCGTCCCCTTTCTTGCGTGGGCTTCCTTGCCTTTTAATCTGACTAGCACATGTCACTTGCTCTCAGAGGTGCTTGTCTTAATGAGTTTGCAGAAGTCAGAGCAAACTTTTACAGCCCAGCTGCCAGTTGTTGCTTTACCCTATTAAATGCTGTTCATCCTTCTTCTCTGTGATCATCTTATTGTCTCTTTTGTCTTTAAGGCTGCTGAGAAAAAGAACAAAGATCTTGAAGAGAAAGTCAGAACGCTAAGGACAGAAGTTGAAGAGAGCAAACATAGGCAGACCAACCTTAAAACTGAATTAAAGAATTTTTTAGATGTACTAGACGGGAAGATAGATGAATTACATGATTTCCGACAAGGACTGTCTAAACTTGGGGTTGACAACTAGATGGCAATAGGTTTTTTTTTTTTGTAGTCTAGGGTCTGGATGTTTGATGTTTTGTTGATCCCAAACGTGTGTTTTACAAAATATAACTAGAATGTTCCACTTGTTTGCATCGTTTTTGTACATAGAGGCTGAAAATTTGCTGGGGGAGGGGGGTTCGGTTTTGGGGGGTTTTTTTGTTTGTTTATTTTCCAAACCAATCATGCTGCTCACTGAATTCTGTTGAGATTAGAAACTTTCTATATTGCTGCTCTGGCTTCGTGGGGTTGGGAACAGGTAGAGCGTTCTGTCTCAGGAATCTGGAACTAGATCTACCTTAAAATGAATATGCAGTTAGTTGTTGCAGGGAAATTTATATCTTTCTTAAGGGCTGTTGCAACCATAGAAACAGAAAACAAGTCTTTTTCTTGTCTGGACTATCAGCACTCCTAGCAACATCCACTTTTATTCCTTGGTGGAGCAGAGAGAAGATTAGCTGGAGCTCCTGCAGTTTGTAAAATGTGCCTGTGATGAGCTGCAGTCAAGTGAATCACTTCACACAGATAACAGTATCTTTAGGGACCACGTCGATCAGGCCTGATTTGCCAAAAAAACACCCCAGTGGATTTCAGATGACCTCCCATACAGCTTGCCTGGACCCATACAGCACAAAGTCAAAGATACAGAAATGGATTTCAGTCATACATCTTACCCGGTAGGTGAGGACAGCTTCTCTTGCTTAGCAGGATCATCTCTCTTTGGCCTTCAATTTTGAACCCATGTAGTTCCATCATTATGTGCATCTCTGAAAAAATGACCACCTGAGTCCTGGGACCAGGTATTTATTTTAAAAAGCAATATGTTGCTGGTTTGTACACAGGGCACATGCACCGCTGTGCAACTTGGTGGCTGTTGATTAACTTCTGCAGTAGTGAAGAAAGGGATGTCGATCTGAAAAGCAATATAAGGTTACTTGAAGGCGTTGCTCAGAAGCAAGTTTCTGCCCAGGAGACTGGCAGGGTCCTGACCACATGAAATCAAAATCCTTTCCTATGATTTCTGCATTCTCACCTCGTGTGTCTTGACAGGAGGGTGGGCGTTAGTCACCAAGTTAGACTGTCCAAAAAAAACCCCAACCCAAAAGGCAGAAATGCTGTCGTGTTCTCGAACTGATTATTCAGCAGCTCTAAATATGTTTTGAGAAATGCAAGGTCATATGCTGGGCTCCAACGAGAAGGAAGTTCACTTTATCACAGACAGGGATGTAAAAAGGGCCGGAGAGGAGGATTCAGCCCAAGTTTTGCTCTTGCCCCTAGGACTGCCTTCAGCTTCTCTCTCTTCTCTCTCCATAACCTGGTTTGAAAGTGTATTTACAGGGGATCTGAATAAATTCAGAAAAGAACTTTTGTTTATGTAACATTATTATTAGTTGCTTAATTCAGACAAAGCTTGGTTAAGAGCTGCATTAGTGCATTCCAGCGGTGACTAATATAAAATGGCCGCGCTTTTTTTTTTTTATTTACGGGGTTTTTTCTTTTCTCGGCACGTCTCTATTAAAAAAGTGACCTTTAAAAGAAAGGTGGTTTATAAATGAAACATGCATTTATTACTTTTTGCGCATGGATATGTAATTTCCATGCTGGAGATAAGATCTGTCTGCAATTGTCCCTTGAATTTTCATTTCATCTATTATTGTTGCATTACCTTCATTGCCTGTTTTTTAGACTGGACGTTGTGTATTTTTGTTTTTACTCCTTTTAAACAACAGATGTGAAGCTGGGACCTTTCATAACCATCACAACCATTTAAGTCTCTTTAAAAAAAATTGCTGTAGGCTGTTGATATTTAAAAATAAAAATAAAAATAAAAATCAGGTACATAGCATGTAGGCGTGTGAAAAGTAGACTTTGCCAGCGTGGAAGATTCAACAATTGCATAATGTGGGGTTAGATCAGACTTCTCAAAATTGAAAATGACGTCAGAAACTGTGTGGTTGTGCACAAGTAATCTCCATTTTTAGTCTTTTTATTTGATAGCAAATCAGATAGACACCATCATTTACCAGGCAGCTTCTCCTCTCCTCCCATGCTGCTTTAGAGTTCCCAAACTGCAGCCGGTCCTCGCATCAGCTGGGAACCAGGAGATAACACAACTAAGAGCCGCAAGCAATACAGGTAGTTGGTGCCCTCCGCATCACAGTGTTTTGTTGCTTTTGCATCCAGGACCTTGCTCTGTCTTCTGGTTCCTTTTTCCTGTTGAGCAGTCTTAGGGCTTCCTTCTTGGTTTTAACCTAAAATCTGATTTTTAACATTATTCTGGGCAGAGGGATACAAAAATTATTTTATTGGGGTTAATCCAGCTCTTTTTTTCCACTTTAGTCAAGTCTATCTCAGATCCAGTTCATTAGGAATGTATTAAGCCACTCTTAAATTGCAGAGAAAGTGTTTCTATGGGATTGCATCAATTTAACAGATGGAGTTTAATACTGGTGCATTAAACTGGTGCATAGCTCTGACACGGGTGGTTATTTCTGTATCCTTCGTGCTCACCAGAGGAATGATGGGGTGTCCTTAGAGGAATCGCTACTCTGGCTCTTCTAGTCATGCCCCAAATGTGTATTTGCCTTATCTGCTGTAGCTCTGATGTCGTTAGGAGTGCCTGTACACGGCTATACACTGTGGGAAACTCCCTCCATCAAGCATCCAAGGTCTTGCTATAATTACCCCCTTTCTCTTTTTTCCTTCCCAATAGTTTGAAGTTGAGAGCTTCTATGTATAATTACTTGTAAACCTCTCCCCACACTCCCTCTCTTTTAACGTTTCCCTCTCTTTCATTTCATTTTTCCTCTTCAAAAGCCAAAAGCGCGTGAGGAAGAGGCGGCACATGCTCTCAGGAGTGTTTGGATGCCAGCCACAGCTCCCCTCTCCGGCCTGGCCCCGTCCCTGCCCCAGGACTGGTGCCCCGTGCGCCCGCTGAGCGGGGACCGGTGGTGTCACACACTGCTTATTCCTTGACGCTCTGTGGTGGCCCAGCAATAACCCCTGCGTGCCAAACCGTGAGCCCCACGCTGCTCCTCAGGGACCAGTCCTGGCATCAAAATGCCTGCTCCCTCCTGGCGGGAGCACGGGGACGGTGAGCCTTCCCCTGCCAAAATGCCCACACCATCCTACGCGTGCATTTGTTCCTCCTTTTGTGCACGTTGGGGATTCAGCCCATGCCAGGAGCCGCACTCAGCCGCGGCCAAGAAATCCTCATCCCTGTCCAAGAGAGGCTCCACAGAGCTTGGGTTTGTTTGTTATTAAAGTGCAGCGCTGGGCAAACCCTGGTTTCCCTGTGCCATTGGCAATGAAGTAGGTCGTCGCTCCGTTTCCATGGAGCCCGCGTGGAGGTGTCTTTATACAACGTTATACCTCACCTTGGGCAACTGTGGGTTCGCTTTCCAGACACAAGTTTCTCCCTCAAAGTGTTTGATGGCAGGATCTATCCTACCTCAGCTACGCAGTCTTTCGTCAATAAAGGTCTCGTGCTGGCGCTTCCCGTGCCGATACCCGCCGGCTGCACTGCTGCGGGTCCCACCACGCTGCCCGTCCTGCCTGTCCACCGCGGCTGGCTGGTGGCTCTGGGAAGAAAAGTCTGTGGTGGCCTCTTGTGACATGGGGTTAGAGAGTGTCTTACTGCCTTCTGGGCTTGGAGCTGATGTCAGAGCTGCTGAATAATGGGTTTGGGTTTTTTTCTTGGTTCGGTGGCCAAAATGAGAAATAAACAGATCTACTTTGTATTAGCACAAAACCTAAAAATATTCAGCGATAGAAAAATATATGGAGATAATT